TATGTTATCTTTTATCAATTTTTATTCTAAATTAGTTTTTTAAGTGTTGTAAAATACATAAAAAAAATTAGTAAGGTGTATTAATTGAGATGAAATGGTTCTTTATTTTTTCTTCATATTTGTGCAAATGAAAAAAATTATATTCATATTTAATAATGACAAAATACTTTTCTTATAAAGTAATAACAATATAATTACTTAATTATAAGTGAAAAATTATCAATGAAATAATCGAAATGTACACGCATTTTATTATATAAATATAGTATGTATATCATTTGTTCGATAATTCTCTGAAAAGATCAATTTATGTGGTATATAAGATTTACATTGTCCATTTTATATTTTATATTTTTTTACTTTGGTAATAATTTTATTATTAATACACCATTAATATATAAATTAGATTATTCATTATATTCATATAATAATGGTCATTAATATATAGATTTTACATTTCTATTGTTCTTTTTTATCAAAGTATAAAAATTCAACGAAGGATCTTTAATTTAATTCAATTATAAATACTACTAAGTAAAATTTTGTTTTAATTATGATTTTTATATATAATATTTATTTATTTTTGGTAACATGTGCATGTGCACAAAATTAATGCTAGTTTTATAAATAAGAGTGGCTAATGACAACAAATTTAAAGTAAATGTACTATTTACTTTTATTTAGCATATTTTAATTGTAACTATTTTTTATTAAGTGCACATTTTTTGAAATTCAAGATTTAAAATTGAGTTTTAGTTATTTTATTTAATTTTTATAATTACTCTATTTTTATTTATATTACAATTAAAATAGATAGTAGATTAATTTATGTAACACATACTATCATAAAAGAACATTATGTTATACATACTATTATTTACAGGTAAACATAAATCATATTATGCATATTGTTTTAGTGAATAACTTAAACAAAATATTTTAAGATTATATATTTTTCACTCAACGAATAACTTTTTTCCACAAAAAAATTGACAGTTTGTATGATGAAGAATTATTCTTCATTCAATCGTCCTTAAACATATGCATATTCACCAAATTTGTCCTCTTCAGTTTTTTTAATACTAATACAAAATGTTTCTGTAGTAATAATATGATAGTTGGTAATTATAGATGGTATTTTCATTGATGCATATATATTTTACACTTATGAAATAAAAATATTTTATTTAGAATTATCTTCTCTTACATTTAAAAACTACCTTTAAAATAACCAAACTGAAACCTAACGTCATAGTTCGTATGTAAACTAATTATGATTAATATAATTTTAAATAAATTATTTGTTTAAAATCTATCATTTGCGGAGATAATCTTTTTGTATATGTAAAAACTTTAAGATATAATTAAGTATAAAAAATAAAAGATAATGAATATAAGTAAACTAAGAAATGAAAGTTTAAAAATTTAACAAATATTGTTAATTGTAACTTCTTAACATTAATAAGAAATTACATTCATTACCTTAAAACTTATCTTTAGTAAGGGCATTCTTGGCACTTCAAAAGTTTCAAGAAACCACTCATACTTTTAAGGGAGATATATATATCGAATTTTCCTTAGGAAAAAATTTATGAAAATAAATTATAACCATATCAATTTTTTTTATTTTTTTTTCATTTGTAGAAATACCATTATTAATGTAATATATATATATGATAAATAATCCTACCTACCTTTTCAAGCCATCTTAATAATGTAAATTAATGTTAAACTTATGTTATCTTTTATCAATTAGTTTATTAAGTGTTGTAAAATACAAAAAAAAAATAGTAAGGTGTATTAATTGAGATGAGATGGTTCTTTATTTTTTCTTCATATTTGTGCAAATGAAAAAAATTATATTCATATTTAATAATGACAAAATATTTTTCTTATAAAGTAATACCAATATAATTACTTAATTATAAGTGAAAAATTATCAATGAAATAATCTAAATGTACACATATTTTAATATATAAATATAGTATGTATATCATTTGTTCGATAATTCTCTGAAAAGATCAATATATGTGATATATAAGATTCACATTGTCCATTTTATATTTTATATTTTTTTACTTTGGTAATAATTTTATTATTAATACTAACATTAATATATAAACTAGATTATTCATTATATTCATATAATAATAGTAATTAAATGTCCATTGCATATGGAGCTGGAAGAGTCATTGTTGACAATTCTCCCAGCATAGTGCTAATAATGGACCAGATCAAAATGGCTCAATTAAATTCTAGTGCTTCTTCTATTAGTGAAGTTTCTAGAAAAAAAAATATCAAACGACGCAACGCACCTTGGGTCGCTATGGAAACAACCTCCTTGTATAATTACAAGGGTAAGGTCTGCGTACAACTGACCCCCCAGACCCCAACTTGTTGGGAATATACTGGGTATGTTGATGTTGATGAATAATAATCATTAATATATAGGTTTTACATTTCTATTGTTCTTTTTTATCAAAGTATAAAAATTCAACTAAGGGTCTTTAATTTAATTCAATTATAAATACTATTGAGTAAAATTTTGTTTCAATTATGATTTTTATATATAATATTTATTTATTTTTGGTAACATGTGCATGTGCACAAAATTAATGTTAGCTTTATAAATAAGAGTGGCTAATGACAACAAATTTAAAGTAAATGTACTATTTACTTTTATTTAGCATATTTTAATTGTAACTATTTTTTAATAAGTGCACATTTTTTGAAATTCAAGATTTAAAATAGAGTTTTAGTTATTTTATTTAATTTTTATAATTACTCTATTTTTATTTATATTACAATTAAAATAGATAGTAGATTAATTTATGTAACACATACTATCATAAAAGAACATTATGTTATACATACTATTATTAACAGGTAAATTTAAATCATATTATGCATATTGTTTTAGTGAATAATTTAAACAAAATATTTTAAGATTATATATTTTTCACTTAACGAATAACTTTTTTCCACAAAAAAAAATTGACAGTTTGTATGATGAAGAATTATTCTTCATTCAATCATCCTTAAACATATGCATACTCACCAAATTTGTCCTCTTTAGTTTTTTTAATACTATTACAAAATGTTCTGTAGTAATAATATAATAGTTGGTAATTATAGATGGTATTTCATTGATGCATATATATTTTACACTTATGAAATAAAAATATTTTATTTATAATAATATCTTCTCTTACATTTAAAAACTACCTTTAAAATAACCAAACTAAAACCTAACGTCATAGGTCGTATGTAAACTAATTATGATTAATATAATTTAAAATAAATTATTTGTTTAAAATCTATCAATTTGTGGAGATAATCTTTTTGTATGTGTAAAAACTTTAAGATATAATTAAGTATAAAAAATAAAAGATAATGAATATAAGTAAATTAAGAAATGAAAGTTTAAAAATTTAACAAATATTGTTAATTGTAACTTCTTAACATTAATAAGAAAATTACATTCATAACCTTAAAACTTATCTTTAGTAAGGGCATTCTTGGCACTTCAAAAGTTTCAAGAAACTACTCATACTTTTAAGGGAGTTATAGAATAGATTATAGAAGTTATAGATATAGATAGATAGATAGATATAGATATAGATAGAATAGATATAGATTATAGATATATGAGAAAAACCTCTAAGCAGCTATTAACTCGAGCATGGAAATAATACCTCTACAACATGCTTGTAGAGACAACGTTGCAAAGCGTCTTGCAACGAAGTCCTTGCGGGCAACAAATGTCCGCAGACGGCTCTGAATTCGCTTGGCTGCAGAATCCAAAACCTCAGCTCGACGGGAATCTAATATAGCAATCTGACCTGCTCTTAGGAAGACTTTATTCTTTCCTAGCTGCAAAAGACAAATAATATATGGTTGACTAAATATTTACAACAAAATGAGCCAACAGTAAAGAAGTGACAAGTGTACAACGGATAATAGATGTCAATCCAAAATATTTGCGATTATGAAATAACAAACCTGAAAGTTCTCTAAGTTCAATCTCTGCAATATTATCTCAGTCATAGTTTTGTCGTCATAACTGAAAAACATTAAAAAAAAAGGCAATGAAGTAAGTAAATTAAATTTGACAGTTGGATCTGCCACAAGAACAAGAGGATAGAGAGACGAGAAAAACAGCTAAAAAGCGAAATATTCATTCAAATTCTGAAACCTTTGACATTAGAAAAAAAATAGGGTTCTTCAACTGTACCTTGTATCAAAAACATCCAAGGCTATTATCCCAAAACGATCGACAAACTCATGGTAAGTCTTCCTTGTGGGATAGCCTGCCAAACTTATACGAACCGCTTCTAAGACACCCTGCAGGAAGGTTACATAATACACAATTATTACAACTTCAAATGGGGTACAGAAAAAGGAAAAGAAATAAGAGCTCATCAAGACAACAGTATATTCACCACATTATCTAACATGTTCCTTTTCCTGAAGCTCACCCCACAGGAACTTTCCAAAAACAGAAGGCACGGCAATTGATTTACTGATTAAGCTTAACAATCCTGCAGTATTGTTACCTTTTTTGAAGATATAAAATCATGGGAAGAAGGTTGTATCTTTTGATCTAAAATGTATCATCTGAATAATCGAGTCTAATCACAAAAGTTGACATCCATTCATGTCCAATACAAATTAATGAAGATTGACAGACTAGAGACTACACTAGAAATAGCAGTTTGAGATGAAGAGATTATTAAACTGAAAACTACAGGCTTGTTTCAGTATGGATAGTAGTTGGATATTACTGACCCCACAACGCAACTGGTGTAGGATGCTTGGAGTCTCAAACCTGTGAGGCTTATTTAATGAGTTTGGCTTCACACATCGAACATAGTGAGGCTCTGTTGAGCTAAGGGTTTCCATGAGAGCTTGAAGTTGTTGCTGCAAGCGAAGACAACTTACGAACAAGTGAGAAATCGTCATGATGGTAATACATGATGTACCGAAGATAAGTTGTCAACATAAGACAAATTTACGAAAACGAACATGATCAAGATGATTGCTTGAGCAAAATATTGAAGTCTACTGAAGAGGTGAAATTTCCTTGACCATACCAGGGAAAAATTACAATTCAGACCAATGCAAGATGAACAATGCATGAAAATGGAGAAAAATCACGACACACTAGCTACAATCACCATGCCGTTTACGAAAACAGTAACATTCTGATTTGATGTTCATGGCAGATTCTGCACAGCATATCACAAAGACAAAAGGCTATTTGCAAGTAAGAAACTAAATATAAAGAGCTCCGTTTCTTTTACAGTATCAAATTTCAGAAGCAAAAGCAGTTCATAATGCTGCATCCATACAAAGAGATCAATGTAATGCATGTTCGACCTTCAGTTTGCTCAGATGACAACTAATGCAATAACTAGATAGTAAAATCCCTCAAACAAGTTCCACAGAACTATCAAATAAAAGCTACGAGAATGTCAAAAGGAAAAGGTTGCAGAGGTAGAGAAATTTTAGTACCTTAAACCGAGAGGCCACTGATGAGAACTTGTAGGATGACCGAGCCGATTCTTCAGGCAAAGGAGGAAAGAGGCCAGATATGAAATGGCATGTGGAAGAAGCTAATAAATTGCAATGTTCAACCACAACATAATCACGGTTTTTGTCTAAGAATGTCTCTGTCTGATAGCTCACCTGGGAGGAACAAACGAGAAAGAAATAAGTGGTAAATTATTGTTCGGACACTGTGACACTAAGAAGCAAAAAAATATGACATAGAAAGTACCTTGCCAGCATAGTGAGAAATAATAAAATCTGTTTCAGAAAATTTGGCTTTCTCTAATCGCCGGTGGGAGCGGAAATTCCGGAATAGCTTGTTTGAAAATGTTTCATGAGTTGATTTGGGGAACATGCTGCAGGAAAATGATACAAGGAGCAAGGATAAGTAAAGAACCAATAAGAAACATGAAAAAATAGGAGATAACATTGAACATACCAAGCTTCATCTAGAAGAGCAATTATACCTATGGGTCTCTGCAAAAGATAGTTCAAATTGAAATTGATCATCATCGTGCAAAATATAAAAAAAAATAAAATAAAAGGAAACAAGAAAAAAAAAGGGGGGGAGGGGGGGGGGAAGGGGAGGGGATTGACTGTTTCATCTCCAGGGGAGGGGATTGACTATCCCAAATTATTCTTATTTCTCCGTAAAATTCTTACTCAGATTTAATACGAGATTGCAAGGAGTAAGAAGACATTGATCTACCAATGTCGAGCATTTATTTTATCTAAGCTATCAAAACCTATATTGACCGCATCATATTCAATGAAAATTAATCAAGACATCAAATAGTGACCACATAACCAAAGATCAAAACCAGAATGGAACTCCGATCAAAAAAAATTCAGAATGTAACTTTAGTAACCAATACTGCCATTTTAAATATTGAACCAAAGTTAATATTCTTTATTGAGTTCTCCAATTTGATTAGTTCTATCAACCATTTCTTTCTCTTTGAAGGAAAAAAAAAAGGTTCAGGTATAAAACTACCATTTCTTTGGTCTTATTTTGGTTCCATATTGTCAACCCACCCACAGTATCATTTCCAGTAGTAAATTCATCAGGCAAAGAGAGCAGCATTGTTCCTCATTTTACTAATAGAAGTGGGCACATCCAAGAACCTTTATATCATTGCAAACAAAAAATATAGTGCTTCTGATATGAAAAATGACCATATTTTATCCCTGACAATCAATACCAAGTTGAGCAAATGAACTACAAATTGCCAATTTACCTACAGTTTAGGCTGTTTAAAACCATTTTATCAGATAACATCACAGGCAAGAGTGAAGGAGAAGACCTTCTCTATCAGATCCAAAACATCTTGGTTGTCAATAAACTCAATGTAGCTCCAATTGATTTCTTCTCTTTGATATTCCTCCTGCTCCATCTTAAATACATGCTGCATAACAAGTCCCACGAAAAAGGTGCATATTAAGGAACCAGTACATAAAAACTACATTTTACTAGAAATAGAATCCAAATATTAAATTACCTCATTAAAATGCTGTTGAAGCTTCTCGTTTGCGAAATTGATGCAGAATTGCTCAAAACTGATTAATGTAGGTAGAACAAAGCAATAAATTTCCAGAAACACATTTAAGTCACACACACACCAAATAATAAATAAATAAATAAAATTAAATTTTACCAGTAATTCCAAAATACATATAAATTTGTACTTTAGTTACTGAAAATAAGTGAGTTCAGGTGTATTAATAACTATGTACATCTACCTCGAAGAAATCGATAATGAAATGAAATATAAAATGGAATACAAAATGTCAATTCATTGATAATTTACCTATTCAATCTAAAGCATTCAAATCCGTATATGTCAAGGACTCCAATTTGTATCTTAGAATCGCGATCTTGTCCAACTGATCTGTTAATCTTCTCAACTAGCCTGAAACAGAAATATCATCTAGGATTGCCTTCACATTATTTGTTTAACCAAATAGCTTAAAGTGCATCAAAGGATGTACAAAAGAAAAAGAATCGGCGGACCAGTCAAACAGCCGAGCATAAACAGTTTTAGCCAGAGTATCCCGTCCAGCTACAGCAGCACCACAATCAAGAGCTTTGACAATTATCCCCTCATGAGTTTGAATTGAGCGGGTCGTTAGTGTGGCTAGCAAAAGACTAACATCACACCTGATTTAGGAGAATAACTCAAAGTTACATAACAGTCAAGAAAATAAAAGTGATGCAAAAACAGAGACTGTCTAATAGAGAATTTAAGGACTGATTAATTCTAAGGGTGTGTTCAGATTGAGGGGTTTTAGAGGGAAGCCTTTGACATCCAACATCAGATCCACCAAAAGAAACTCAAATGATGATTCCACGAATCACACACACCACACACCACATCTCAAAGAACACACAAAAAACACAAACTATACGTGTTCAACAAACATAGAAAAAACAAATAGAGCAGTCGAACTCACGCACACACATAACACACTAGACACATTTCAAA